AAGTTGCGCATATGCATGAATGTTCATCTTTTTTTCCCTTTAACTACCGGTATGTGAAATTCTATTTTGTGACTGCTTCTCTGATACCAACCAATCAGAATAGATCTTACTAAAACAATGTACATTATTCTGTGCAAGAATCTATACCATGGCTTCTGATTGGTTGTCAAAGGATTAACATTTGAATGTGATGTACATTCAGAATGATTGCAAGTAGGGCGTAAATGTGAAAAACGCAAAGTTTTTAAAAGTCCAATATGTTTATTGTCATCAGATTAAATGTGACTGCGCCACAGAAGTTCCGATCAGATTGTCATTTTCAAATATCTGGTAAAAATTTTTCTGATGAGATTAATCTGATATTTACAAGGTAGCCAAGGTACTACAGTAAATGCATTATTCACTGTTTTAATTTTGCTATTTTCACTGATCTAAATTACATCTACATGAACATTTAAAATAATAATAAAGCTCATTGTTTCCATGACAATTAAAACAGAATGAATATGTTCAAAACATTAAAATAGTGAAAATAAATGAATTTATAGTGTATTTGATGGTATCAGTGTCTCGTGTACCCAAGATATTTGACATTGTCCAGACTAACATCAATATAGTGTAGAATAAGACAACACTGCAATGATGTTATTAGTTATTTCTGAAGCCTTTATTAACGCATACTGACTCCCTAGAGGGAATGGCAATGAACAGAGAATAGTAAAAGTAATACACTAAAAAGGAAGGACTAAAAATAAACTAATTTACAAAAATAAAGTATTAATAGAAAAAAACACTAAAACATCTCCTTCTGAAAGAAACAAGCATATTAATCCCATATCTGTTGTCTAATTTCAAAGCACTTGTTGATATACTGTGCTTTTATCTGCTTTCTGAAATTGTTAATTCCATGACAGATAGCCTTTGGCTAAAGGAAGGTGTCACATGACCTCATTAAAAAGCATAAATGTAATTCTAATCAAATCTTCGTAGTAACTATGATACCACCCATACAAACAAGTTTAAAGCAAAAAATTAAATTTTAAAAAATATCACCAGATGCCAAATACGTTTTATTTTTATATTTTTCAATTTTATAAATTAAATTTTTAGCTTTGTTATTAATGATTTGATGATGTGTGGAGCTATTCAGTTAGGTGATTGTTCATCGCCCATTTCTTTAACAATTGGAATTTTTTTTTTGAACACCACTAGGCCCATTGCTTTTATACCAGATTGGTTGAAGGCTTGGAACACAAGGAACATGGATCACTTTCCCGGGGTATTTGAAACCTTATATTGTCATCTAACTGTAAGGTAGTTGCTGATTGGCTGCTGAGTTGGAATGACAATTTTTGGTTTCAAATACCACAGGAAAGTCTTCTATGTTCTTTCTGTAATTACCGGGTAAGCGTTTGTATGCATAGAATTTTTCCACATATCAAAATCGATTGAAGCTTATTAGCGTTTGGCTTAATATTACCCCAACATATTTTTTTTCTGATTTGTAAGAATCTGAAAATCGCGTTTCATAACTTGTCTATTTATTTAGTTTCAAGTCATATTCAATATGGTGCCCCCCCCATATAGTGAATATCGCACTTGTGCGTCAACTGACTCCTAGACCCCTATCAAATTTGTTCATTCCACGTAAACTTCAATTCTCTGTTTTAAACAACAATTCTATTTTAATAGTGTACATGTTTACGTTTCTATACAAGATGTAAAAGTTCTACATATTTTCATCTATGTAACCATGGTAATTAAAACAGTGGATGTGATTACATGAGAGAATGGGTGGATAAACAACATTTCTCAAGCCTGTCCCACTCGATAAGATTGAAGGATTTCTACAAATGTCAAATGTTGCATAACCCATAGACCCCAAAATATAGGGTCTATGCATGAACCAACAATACGAATTTAAAAAAAACAAAACAGTTTTCAGTAATAAGCTAAATACATGACCCCTGGTACTTTCTGTTGCCATTTACCAATAATAATTGACAATATTACACCTCAAATTTCACCAGGTTAAAATATTTTCAAACTTTTTTCAGAGCACTTTTTCTGCAAAAATGCTGTGGTGAAATTCTCTTTAATTTAAACTTGCTTATCCTAATAAAGTACCAGGATTTGTGAAAGTACCCGGATTTGTAAAAGTACCCGTCTTTGTGAAAGTACCCGTCTTTGTGAAAGTACCCGTCTTTGTTACCCGTCTTTGTGAAAGTACCCGTATTTGTGAAAGTACCCGTATTTGTAAAAGTACCCGTATTTGTAAAAGTACCCGTATTTGTAAAAGTACCCGTATTTGTAAAAGTACCCGTATTTGTAAAAGTACCCGTATTTGTGAAAGTACCCGGATTTGTGAAAGTACCCGGATTTGTGAAAGTACCAGGCTTTGTGAAAGTACCAGGATTTGCGACCTTTAGGGGTCATGTATATAGTTGATTATTCACAAATGTTGTCACTTCTCAAAATAAGCTACAATTTTACCGTCGTCGTCTGTGTCGTTGATGTCGTTGATAACTTTTTTTTAATGGCTAACTGCTATGAAAGTTTAGCTGGGCTAGAAGCAAATTTGCTGCATGGCATGTATATAATGTAAATCAAGGTTATTAAATGTAACTAGTTCATTGTGTGAACTTTGTTGTTTGCTCCCAAACAACAAAATATTATTAAAGGGGAACCGCTCAATCCCATGGATTGCACCAAAGAATCATGGGACACTATTGTTTATGTTGTTTACAATGTTAATCTATCTTTTGTTATCCATTGTTATTTTAATCCAGAAAGTAAATTTGTTGTGGTATTAGGCTTAACTGGAAAGTGCCCCTTTAAGGTTATCTCCTGATATTATATGTTCGTAGAGCTGGTTAATAAGAGTGACGTCATGAGCCCAAATTATCTATGAATTGTAGGGTTGTGGATAATACAGTCCATGACTTCATGAGTATCATCAAGCAGATCTATGAATGTACGATGTCAGGTGATCATCTTTTAATCACATGACTAATTGTGGTTGTCAGTTATGGCTTATGATGTTTTTTGATACTCAACTTGTAATCAGCGTTATTAAGACTTAGCCGTTTCACAACCACCTCACTCTTTTCATCACAAATTCCAAAATAGTCCTCTTTATAGTCTGCATTTTCCTTCAGAAGGATAAGGACTAAAATAGTCAATTTTTTGAGTAAAATCTGAAAAGATACTCAAATTATGTCTATAAGCTCCCAAATTAGGGATCATTTCCAGAAATATTGAAGGCTATAAGAAAAAAAGTGCAGACAAATTTGGGCAAGGAATTCTGGTGGTGAAAGGGTTAACACTGATAAAAATGGTACTGTACAACAATTTGCATAATATTGTGACATTTACTTATCATATCAGTTAGTGATCTTAAACGCTAAATGTCACTATTGTGAATGATACACTCCATGGTCATGTGATAAAATTACATATCAACGTAAAGTACCGCATTTGTCGTTTCATGCGCCCCCATTTTATAAACAATGAATATAACCTGACTATGTATGACGGCCATGGCACTCTGATGTTGGTGTGTACAAATTCAAGCATAGGTAAAATGATTAACATAATTTCGGAGACAATTGGAAAAAATTCTGTTTTTCCAAAACTGAGGACGTACATGTACTTGTTTATATTGTTCACAAGGGTACATACACAGTAACAGTTTGACTTGACAAGAACCAGTCATTTGCATCAGAATTTAATGGTGTTGCTCATTTTGGTTAATATTTAATAGTCACATCAGTAGATT